GAGCCACTTAAAAATGGTGGAAATAGGCATTGGCTCCACTTTATGGGGACCATTAGGAATTATAGCCTTTCAAATAATGATAGGAGCTGCAAGTAAACTCACACCAGTTACACTACAATAACTGGTGGACTGTAGCAAGACAGAGATGGAAGAATGATTTCCTGGTTTGGGTGACAGGCTGAAATTACCTTCAAAAAGAAGTTCTGGGCCCCACCACCACCTTGTCTCTGTGTAAAACCAGAACTTTTTTTTTTCCAACAGTACCTCTGACTCAGTCATCTTGCAAGTTGATGGCAACGAGGAACGTAACAGGTATGGGAAAGGGGAAAATCCCTAATCAGTTCAAAGATAATTTTTGGAGTGCCAAGAGAACCATTTTAGGATACCAAGGAGTCACAGGGAGAGTGCAGGTAAGACCACATAAAGAGACACCATGAACATCTTGAAGAATGAGAAGCCAGCAGTCTATGGAACAAGATCCCAAGCACTGAGATGTGACCCTTGATAGTGCCGAGGGCCAAAGCCTGGTCCAGGCCTCTTGGCAAAAAGCCTGGGATTTTTTTCTGCACAGATCTTCCTGGAGTGAAGGTTACAGAAGGGACAAAATATCTGGAACCAGAGTTGGATCAAGTCAGAACATTATATCAGTCTGGAGCTATTAGGATCCCCAACATGCTCTACAGTTCCCTAGGAAGAAGTTTAAAAGAACAGAGTAGCATAACCTACAGAGTCACCAAGGCATCCACCACCTAAATTTGAGGATCCCTGTACCTCAAAACAAACCTGTCCACTTTGTTGAGCCTGGAAGCCAAAGTGGTCCAAATCATGTGCCCCCCACCTTTGATATAGGTCCTGGATCAAGCGCAGAGCCCATTCCCCCAGATCCTACCAAGATCAGCTTCTGTACTTTGTAGGAAGAAAGCTGACTGGCAGGATCAACCAGGGTACTTCAGATGGAAGTACATAAATGATGATTTTTGAACATACTTTAATGCGTTAACCAGTTGCCATCCACCCTATAGCACAAGTACTGCTACAGGGTGGCAGGGCTGAACAAAAATCACGTAAATATACGTGATTTGCATCTTCCAGGTAGGGGGTGCGTGCATTCCGCCCTACCGGCGCCGCTATTGGTGGCTAGAGATGTAAATCACCGGGTCCTGACCGGCAATTCTCCACCAGCACTCGGTGATCGTAGGGGAAAACTGACAGGGGAGAGACCTGTGTCAGGGGAGAGACTGGGGATGTCAGTTCCCACCCAGTGTTAGTATGTACCATTACATACATATATACACACACACACACACACAGCTATTTGTAGATGCTATATCTTCCACGTAAAGCAATTAATTTACACGTATTGTGATTTTTTTTTTTTTTTTTTTCTTAGCAAAGACATGTAGCAGAATACATTTTGGCCTAAACTTGATTTAAAGTTTATTAAACTTGATTAAAGAAATTTGATTTCATTTTTTTTATTGGATAGGTTTTATAGCAAAAAGTCAAAAATATATATATTTTTGTTCCAAAAATCGGACTTTGTTTATAGCGCAAAAAATAAAAAACGCAGAGGTGATCAAAACACCATTAAAAGAAAACCATTTGTGAGGAAAAAAAAAAAGTGACAAAAGTAATTTATGTATGGCATTGCATGACCTGCAATTGTCAGTTAAAGTAACGCTGTGCCATATCGCAAAAGATGGCCTGGCCAGAAAAGGGGGGTGGGGAATAACTGAGTCAATACAAGAGAATTCACACTGAAGCTAAGGTATTGGGCTTTATGCAAGCGAGTTGCTTTTATCCATGTAGTTGTTCTCAGGTAACAGGCAAGTGCAGAGGGACTCACCTTTACTGCACCAACTCTATCATCAAAATGAATAAAAGCATAGTCTTTCAATTTCTTGACTCTTTCCAGTTTTCCAAACTGTCCAAAAGCTTTTTCCAAGATTTCTTCTGTAACTGTGTTGGCAAGGTTACGAACAAACAAAACTTTAACCTGAAAGAGAAAGATCCACAATAATCAAACTGCTGCTTCATAAATACAAATCATAACAGACTTATGTAAAAGGTGACCACAGGAAGGGATGCTTAAGACAAAGCATAGGCCAAAAAGCCTAACATGCCAAACACTTCCACTTTGCTACATACCCATTCAGCTCTGCACCTGTCACTACTATCCACCACGCCTTTGTATCTATTGTACCCACTCTGTTTCTGCATCTTTCACTATCCCAATTCAGGTCAACTTACCTTGAGCATCAGGTCAGTCAATTGGCAACAGCTATTTACAGTGGATATAAAAAGTCTACACACCCCTGTTAAAATGTCAGGTTTCTGTGATGTAAAAAAATGAGACAGATAACATTTCAGAACTTTTTCCACCTTTAATGTAACCTGTACAACTGAAATATTTTAGGTTGAGGGAAGTAAAAATAAAAAAACTAAAATATGGTTACATAAGTGTGCACACCCTTAAACACTCTGTTGAAGCACCTTTAGATTTAATTCCAGCACTCAGCCTTTTTGGGTATGAGTATCAGCATGGCACATCTCGACTTGGCAATATATGCCCACTCTTCCTTGCAAAAACACTCCGAAATGTGTCAGACTGCGAGGACCTCTACTGTGCACAGCACAGTTTTAGATCACCCCACAGATTTTCAATCGGATTCAGGTCTGGATTCTGGCTGGGCCATCCCAAAACATTAATCTTCTACTGGTGAAGCCATTGCTTTGTTGATTTAGATGTATGTTTTAGATCGTGCTGAAATTTCTTCTTCATGTTCAGCTTTCTAGCAAAAGCCTGAAAGTTTTGTGCCAATATTGACTGGTATTTGGAACTTTTCAGAATTCCTTCTACCTTGACTAAGGCCCCAGTTGCATGTGAAGAAAAACAGCCCCAAAGCATGATGCTGCCACCACCATGCTTCACTGTGGGTATGGTGTTCTTTTGGTGATATACAGTGTTTTTGTGCCAAACATATCTTTTGGAATTATGGCCAAAACGTTCAACCTTGGTTTCATCAGACCAGAACACATTTTCCCACGTGCTTTTGGAAGACTTCAGATGTGTTTTTGTAAAATTCAGCCGGGCTTGGATGTTTTTATTCGTAAGAAAAGGCTTCTGTCTTGCCACTCTACCCCACAGCCCAGACTTATGAAGAATACAGGAGATTGTCGTCACATGTACCTCCTAGATTGTAAGCTCGAAAGAGCAGGGCCCTCGAACCCCTCGTGTATTGTATTGTTACTGTCTTGTCTCATGTTCTGTCCCCCTTGCTACTGTACAGCGCTGAGCAAACCCTTTGGCGCTATAAATACTGTATAATAATAATAAACCACACAGCCAGTACTTGCCAGATATTCCTGCAGCACCTTTAACCTCCCTAGCGGTATGATTATGTCAGTATTTCTGTGCTCGAAGCGGTACATTGTTTTCAATGGAAATATCTTTTTTTATTGTAGGCCTGTAATTCTTGGGAATAACTCACTGAAATCTGTCTGAACAAGAGTCTAGTAAACATCCCGGGTATGAGAAAAATTAAAAAATCACGACAATCATAAATTATAATCATATAAAAAATAATACATTTTATTCAATAATGTAATCAAACCAAAAACACTGAAAATTTTAAAGAGCGCCAAGTTCGCACATCACTGAGCTCAGTCGCAGAATTGTTTTCAGTGTCCGATGACGAATTTCCCCACGAATCATCACTTAATTCTGTAAGAGATTTGAATTTACTATCGCTGTTCTCTCGCTGGTCTAAAACCGCTTTTGACCGAAAGGGATGCTTTGTGGATGCCATGGATGTTTCTCAGTTTCCAGGCAGAAAGAACAGTAAAAATGCAGGCAGGGCACAGGACAAAGCACTTTGGACAAAATGTATGAAATGGTTTGATACAGTAATGTAATACTATTAGATTTTAGTGCATTTTGTGTATCTAAAATTTTTACATTTTTGACTCTCCCACCGGTTCCATCCCGACGCTCGCAGGGAACGGAACCAGGAAGACGGATGCCGGCATCGGCCAGAGACGCAGCGGGAGGACAGCGCAGGACAAGCTAAGTAATCCAGGGATCCCAGAGCACCACTGCAGTGTAATCCCGAGAGTAGCTCAGGGTTACCGCTTCTGGTACTGAAACTTAACCCTGAGCTACACTCGGGAATAGTGCCAGAGGGGTTAATGTTGCTGTAGGCCTTTTGGCAGACTCCCAGACTAGTTTTTTTTGAGTCTTCATCAATTTTGGAAGGACGTCCAGTTCTTGGTAATGTCACTGTTGTGCCATATTTTCTCCACTTGATGACGACTGTCTTCATTTTGTTCCATGGTATATCTAATGCCTTGGAAATTTTTTGTACCCTTCTCCTTATACCTTTTAACAATGAGACCCTGATGCTTTGGAAGCTCTCTGCGGACCATGACTTTTGCTGTAGGATGCGACTAAGAAAATGTCAGGAAAGACCTACAAGAACAGCTGAACTTTATTTGGGGTTAATCAGAGGCACTTTAAAATGATGGCAGGTGTGTATTGACTCCTGTTTAACATGATTTGAATGCGATTGCTTAATTATGAACACAGCTACATCCCCAGTTAAGAGGGTGTGCACAAGTATGCAACCACATTATTTTAGTTTTATATGTTTACTCCCCCCCCAAATGGTTTTAGTTTGTTCTTTCAATTGAGTTGTACACAAGTCATATTAAAGGTGGAAAAAGGTTCTGAAATTATTTATCGGTCTCATTTTTTTTACATCATAGAAACCTGACATTTTAACAGGGGTGTGTAGACTTTTTATATCCACTGTACAACACATGGCTAGATGGCTTAGCTGTCCTAAGCATATTGCAAGACCTACTGGTTCAATAGATGAAGTGGCAATTTTTGTTAGCAGCCAGCTGAACCTTCCAGTGAATAGTCATTTTATCATAGTACACAAGCAGAATGAAGAAATGAATGATAGGACCTCCTCAAAACCCCATTACAGACAGTACTCTTATCACAACATGCAGATTTTTCTACATATGGATCAGATCTGACAATATCTAGAAAACAAAAATCTATGAAGGGTTTGTTCAGACAGGCATTGAAAGCAACTCCATTGCCTATTTGGGGACAGCATTACACATACATTTGGAATGAGAAGCAATGGAAATCTATGGCCAGTCACAAGCCAAACACTGATTCAGTGAGCAAATATGTATATGGAGAAATTCAACTCAGTAACACTTTCAAACTGAGCACTTTGCCGGGATCTATCACAAGCTTCATTAAGCATCCATCTGAACAAGCTTTAAGAAAACCCAGTACCTAAATGTAAACACTGCAATGAAAATACACAATTGACAACACAAGATCCATCCTATACACAGAGTGGACTAAGTAGTTTTAATAAGAACATACAAATCTACATACATAAATATGCCATAATACATTTGAAGTGAACTGGCTGGGGAATGGCTAAAAAACGCTTAGGTTTTAGTGCTTTGTATCCTTGGAGAGGATTCACCTTGCTTCCCTGTCCTTTTATCAGCAAATTCCCAGAAGGGAGAGGCCCAAATAGAGGGGCACAGGTGTTTTAACACTTCCTTATTCCAATCTATTACTACTGGACAGAATTTCTATCATTTGTTCCATGGGCACAATTAAAGTAACTGAATATAACCAGTACATATAAAAGGTTAAGGAGCAAGTAGTACTAGCCTATAAGGCCTCATGCACACTGGACGTTATAAAAATGCCAGTAACATTAGCTGTAGAATTCTGCTATAAAAACAAGAGTTTTGCGGGTTTTTTTAGCATTAGCTTTTTTGAGCGGTTGCATTTTTATTTTAGTAGTTATACTCACAAAATCTTCTGGCTCAAATGCCAGATAGCCGCGTTTTTTTTCAGCTTTTATCAGCGTTTTTCAGCATTAGAGCAATTTTACAGCTAAAAAAAAAAAAAACTCCTTGAAACCCACTAGTTCTGTTTTTTTTTTTCCAGCCAGAAAATGCTGACTACAGTCTGTGTGTGCATGGACACATAGGATAACATGCTGGGGAGTTTACTGGCTGTAGAAAAAAATGCCAAAGCCAAAAACGTCCAGTGTGCATGAGGACTAAAAGGAGTCATCTGATTATTTGACATTACCTTTGCCATCACCTCTGGATCAGGATCTTCAATTGGGTCTGCCCATTCCACAGTTACAACATTACCCCATACTTTCACTTTGCCACTCATTAGTCGACGCCTAGCCTGAGCTGCTGTTTTATGATCCTCATATTCAAGAAAACAGAAACCTCTATTCTTTTTCTTATCATCTGGTTGATGATATAATATAACATCGGTGAGACCCTCTGTGAGGATAGAAACACAAGTACAGGGTCAAACAAGCTAAAATATGCTTGCAACTTTACACAAAAATATAACAGCCTAATGCCCCGTACACGATGAGAATATCAGACGAATGATTGTCTCTTTTTTGGATGCTAGTCTCATAAAAAAAATGAAGAGGTTACGAAAATTCTCATACGACAGAATACAACTTCAGAAGTGATGTAATGTATTCTTTCATTGCTGACCACGTGTGGTCTTGGTCTTCTGATTGTTTTCGAACTACTGAATTAAACAAAAATCATTCATTCTGGTATATGAGAAACATTTTTTTATTTGTCCCTTTGGATATTGTCGCATAAATTGTCAACAGCCCTTGAAAGCTGTGTACCAACGATCAGATTTCATATGATTTTATCATGTGTATGGGGCATTAGGTTCTTTGACATGCAATCACTTAAGCTGCTTCAGTGTATTAAAAAAAAAATAAACTGCACTTCCCATTTTCCCCAGAGGTGGAAAGCCTGTAAAAAATTAAAATAAACTCAGGCCAGTGCAAAATCCATTACTTGTCTTACCTACAAAGTGTGCCAAAAAAACAAATCTGGTAAATCTTTAAAAATGGCACACAATTGTTTGACTAGAATGTGCTCATGCTATATGTCCCTCTGGAACCCTTACTATGCAAATGGATGCTTCTAGCTCAAAAGGCAGAGATCTGACATAACCAGTCTAACTATAATGGAATACATGCAGATTTAGTGTTTCACAGCAACAAAAGGCTCACAAAGTGGATCCAGTGTTTACTGGTTAAAAAATGAAAATCCAGTTGTTCCTATTGTAATTTATATGACAGTGATTACACAAGCACTGGCTGCAGAACAGCACCCAGTGCCTGTGATTTGCTAATTCTGACAAAGCTCTTTCAGTAGGCTAGCCACTAAATTAAGTATTATACTGCAGCCTGAATGTTTAACACCCAATACAAAAACATTTAGAGCTTTCATACTCCACGGTTTGAGGACATGTTCTGTGTTAAAGCAGAAAACCCCCAGCTGGCCTAAATGTCTTTGCAAAAAGAAACTGGGTAGCATTTCCTAAATTTAACCAAAAAAGGTGCTTGGAGAAATTATCTGCCATTTAGAGGAGAAACTACAAAATCTGTACAGGAAAGAAAAAAAACAAAACAACCCCCCTCATTGAATACTAGTACTATGAATATTTAAACGTGAAGTTACTTTCAACTAAACTTTACACAAACAAGATGTTTATTCAAATCAAATGATTCTGTACACAAGGTTTTGAAATTAGTGAATACATATCATCCGTCTTAAAATAGACCTTTAATAAGAGAAAACTGTAGATTGCCTTTGTCAAGTGCTCCTTGCTAGTTCCCGCATTGTCACTGGCTCTTTCTGCTTCGATACTAAATGACAAACTTGGTAGTACTACATACAAGCCTTTTCTCCAATTCTCTTACCTGCATACTTGCACCAGGTTAATCATTTAAAGTACCAAAGCAAGCAGGCTTAGTAGCATTTTTATATCAGCAATGGCAAACCTCTATTTCTCTCATGACCCTTAACCCAAAATTTAAAACTCAGTGCCCCCAAACTGCATAAATGCAGCCAGCTGACTGGCAGAGCATAAACAAATTAAATTTCAGCGATTCTCAACTGCATGATCGCTGGAAAAAAACACTGTCCAACTTAGATGGCACATGTACATTGGAGCATTGCAGTCCGGGAAGACATTTAATCAAAAAGCGAGACTGGGTGTTTTTTCACTGCCCAAAAACATGTTTGGTATCCAGTTGTGTGTACACTGTAGCTGCTTAAATCTCAGTTTAAAAAAAAATGCACCAAAATAGATCTTACCTGTAACTTTGCTAAATTCTTCCACAATTTGTTCCTTTGTTTTACTTTTTGGAATTGACCCAACAAAAAGTCTATTATTGGCAACAGAGATGCATACACCAATGTGTTTTCCAGGGCGAATCTCATGGTTATTATACTAGATAAAAAATATATATATTTTAAGGAACACGCACAAATATTGCAAAAGAATTTTCTTTAAAACAAGATATCCACACTTACCAACTTGACTGCCTCCTGTGCAGCTTCTTTAGTACAGAAGGTAACAAAGGCATATCCCCTATTTAACCCAGTTAAAGGATCCATCATTAAACGAAGATCCCAAATTGCTCCTGCCTTTTCAAATAATGGAACAAGTTCATCTTCAAAAAGGTCTCTTGGAATCTTTCCTACAAATATCTGAAGAAAAAAAAAAAAAAAAATTGCTTAGATATGCAATTATATTAGTTTACTTGTGTGTTAGGCCCTCCTCACACCAGGCAATTAGTTGCAACTGCAACACCTGTGCACCCCCCTGCTGCTTAACAGACAGCTCTGCAAGGGGATTCACAGGTGTTAAGTGGAACTACATGCCGGTAAAAGATGGTCCTCCATGGGACATGCAGCTAATAGCCCTGTGTGATCAGAGCCTTAATGTAGAATACACTTTACCTCTGTGCCAACAGAAGGCTGTTGCCCTGAGTGGATCATGTTTGGTGGTGGGCCGCCATATTTTCTTTGACCAGTTGTTACATCTAGAGTGTATCCTGTTCTTTCTAGAAGGGCCTGGCAAAAAAAAAAAAAAAAAAAAAAAAGGTATCCTGAACAAGTGTTTCACAATGGCATGCTACTTGCTCAGTCGCAATACAAGAAGAAAGGTTAAAATAGCAGCTTGCAATCCAGAGCAACTTAAAAAAAACTGTTAAAAAAAATAAGATTAAGCTCTGACACCAAAGCTTAGGTCCTGAATATACCAACATTTCTGTAGTGGTCAGTAAGGCTGTTCATTAGAGTAATGGACCAAATGAGGCAGCAGCCCAAAGTCTGTCATTTCAATTAAAAGTAGCATTTATTTTTCTTTTTTTAAATCATACTTACCTAGGTGGATGCAGCATCGAGTCAATGCTGCATCTGTTCCCCCACCCCAGCACTCACTGGACCACTGGGCTGTAGAGGGAACAGCAGGCTCAGGCTTTGAGGCTCGCTGAGAGACTGAGCCAGGTACCAGTCCAGGCTACTGGGTGGATCCCGACCATATGGTTACGACCTTTCCCCAGTTTTGACCGGCTGAATGTCAGTTGACAGCAGCCTTTAGGCTGAAAACGGGTCACAGGAGTACAGAATGAACTGCTCTCCTGTGATCCGCAGGAGAAAAACAGCCAAATGAGCTTTGGCTGTATTTGAACTCTGATTTTCTACAATATTTTTTTTTACATTCAGGAGCATGAGGTTTTGGTGTCATCTCAAGAAAGAAAAAAAAAAACAACACACAGAATAGAGAGTTTTTAAAACGGTCCTCCTGCTCATAACAGTATAAAAAAAAGTGGGTACCTATAGTTGGCAACATTAGCTATAAAGTAGTGATGCACCATTACCAAGTATTTTCACGAATGTTCGTGAAAATGCTCCAGATACCCAAACCAATACTTTCCAGTGCAATTTGAGTCAATACTAAAACGTATGGACGCAAAATTACACTGCAAAAAATAGCATGCGATTTTAACAGGAATGTGATTTCTGTCCAAATCGCATGCGGTTCCCCGCTGCTCCTGCGTGAACCCAGGCTTGTCACAGCCTGAGATAACAGACTATGGAGATGTAATTTCCAACCAAGCAAATGGCAATGGGCAGAAAGAGCTATTATTTATCACCGGTATTAATATAGCACCGCATTTTACACAGCTCTTTACATACAAGTTGTACACTGTTTAGAGCTGAAACAATGAATCAATATAATCAATATAGAAAATAGTCAACTATTTTCATAATCGATTAGTTGGTCAGCTGCTTCGTTGGCCTGCATACAGAATGCATTTTTTGTTTACATATCAGGAAATACAGTGCAGCACACATGCAGCTCAGTACACAGCTCATACATATCAGTATGCAGTGCAGAAGATACAGCTTGGTACACCATCCATGCATGCATATCATGAAATGCCAGAGAACGAGTATCAATGTCTTGTGGGACATGTAGTTCTGAAAAGGATTGATTCCGAAAGGCAGGAGTTCTTTTTACCTTGCTATAGGGGCACTCCATACTATACTTTGTGGCTTGCTATAAATTCTCTTTACATTTAATGGCCAAATGTTTGAAATTTCACTTGCTTTTACTATTCAATTTTAAAATGATTGCATTTCTGAATGCAAATCCACATACACAATCCGGAAATTTGGTAGGGGCTCGTTCACACTAGGCTGTTTTGCCAACGCTTGCCAAACGCCCCTATAGCATTTTGGCAAGCGTTGGTCCGGTGTTTGCGGAGCGTTTTTTTTTTTTAGCAGCGGTTGCTAAGGCGTTTGCCGTGCGTTAATAACGCCCCACAAACGCCTATAATGCATTTGAGTGGTGTTACCGCTCTCCGCAAACACCCCGCAACCGCACCGCATTGCAGAGCGGCACCACAGACGAGAATAGGAGGCTTCAAAGCCTCCTGACTCGAAGAGGCGTCCGTTTTGCCGCGGTGCGACGCAAACGCTCCTGTTTAGAACATACACCATGTGCCAGAATTGGCAATGGGAAGCGGTAAAAATGCTTCCCAAACGCCTCTCTGCCGCCTGCACACAAGGCTAGTGTGAACGTAGCCTTAGATCAAGAAGTTCTCTATTCTGCGCCTTCAATTTTTTTTTTCATCACTGTGGTTGAAAGCAAATAGCAATTTGATCCCACTAACAATTAGAAAAAAAAAGGAAAAATGTGTGCATGGCCACCATTAAGTGACAGCAGGTACATGTAAGCTTGTATCAACCTACTTGCCCATAACAAGTTTGTCATGCACAATATTTTATTGCAATCCCATCTGAAAATCTACAATAGTGTTTTAGGTCTTTTTATTTTTTTTTCCTTTGAATAAAAATTCGAATCTCCAAGTCTGATATGTACCAGATGGTATTCTCAGAGTGGACTAGATAAATTTTTCCCTAACCATATAGCTGGTTATTTATATTTACCACTGCATATAGATATTCAAGAATAAAGTTGTCTTTTTTTTTTTTTTTAAACTTTACATATTAACTATATTGTACACCAAACATTTGAGGTCATCTGATTAACCACTTGCCCTCCTGAGGATTTACCCCCCTTCCTGACCAGGCCATTTTTTGCGTTACGGCACTGCGCTACTTTAACTGAAAATTGTGCAGTCATGCAACACTGCACCCAAATGACATTTATGTCCTCCCCCCCCCCCCCCCCCCCCCAAAATTGAGTTTTCTTTCGGTGGTATTTGATCATCTGTGCGGTTTTAATTTTTTGCGCCTTAAAAGGAGAAAAAAAAAAAAAAAAAAAAGACTGACAATTTTGAAGAGAGAAAAAATATATATATTTTTTTACATTTTGCTATTAAACATGTCCAGTAAAAAAATTATAAAAAATTAAAATTTAGGCCAAAATGTATTCTGCTACATGCCTTTGCTAAAAAAAAAATCCCAATACGTGTAAATTACCATATTCTTCACTCCATAAGACGCACTACCTACCCCCAAAAAATGGGGGAAAATGTCTGTGCGTCTTATGGAGTGGCCAGCCTGCTATTCCTGCTGCCGGTGTGATAGAATACCGGGCTGGTCACTTGGCTCTTCTGTGCAGCAGAACCTGCTCCTCAGTCCAGCGGTGTCCTCACCATCTTCTCTCCCTGGCACCGGAATCTTTAGTGTGGGCACCCGGATGGGACATGGGACAGCTTGCTGCTTCACAGCCGGGTGCAAACTGCACCTGCGCGAGAAGCGCTGTGCTTTGTGAATCGTCCGGCAGTCTTCTGGGACCTGTCATGTGTCCCAGAAGACAGGGAGGGAGGAGAACTCCGCAGAAGTGGGAGCGAGTACCTGTCAAATTCGGGTACCCACTCCCCCCCCCCCCTTCTGCTCCCCAAAGGGTCACCCCCTGCCCCACGTCCACAGTATCTGGTCACCCCCTGCACCATGTCCGCAGTCTCTGGTCACCCCCTGCGGTCTGTGGTCATTTCCTGTACTACGTCTGCAGTCCATTGGTTCAGAATCTTTTTTTTTTCTTGTTTTCCTTCTCTAAAACCTAGGTGCGTCTTATGGAGTGAAAAATACGGTAATTGGTTTACGTGAAAGCTAGAGTTTACAAATGGCATATAAACTGGGATTTTTTTTTTCTACTAGTAATGGCGGTGATCAGTGACTTAGCAGGACTGCAGCAGACATTCTGACATGGGGGGGGGGGGGGGGGGGGGAACTGACTTGCTGTCAATGACATCCGCAGCGACACTAATACAATGATCAGTGCTAAAAGAACAAAAAAAGCACTGACATTGTACTAATGGCACTGGGCAGGAAGGGGTTAACATGAGGGGCTATAAAAGGGTTAACTGTGTGCAGGGAGTGTTTTACTAGGGGGCAGTGTTTGTGTGCTTCACTGTAAGCACACTGCTTTGGATGGCTGTGCTGTGCACAGCCAACCAAAGCAATGTGCTGGAGCTGACAGGGAGCAGAACTGTAAGTAAACAAAAGTTCTCCGCCCCGCAGATCCTCTAATCACCGGCCGGGACCCGGTGATTGACAGCCACAAATGGATGGTATAAATACATGTGATTTTGCACACCCGTGCCACCCTGTAGCAGTATTTCTGCTTTAGGGCGGTCGGGAAACCATTAAAACAAAACAATCGGCCAACTAATTGATTATGAAAATAATTGCTAGTTACAGCCCTTTGTTATAATCGTCTGTAACTCACATTTAGATATACACATACTAGGGCCAATTTAGAGAGAAACCAAATAACCACCAGCATATCTTTGGAGTCAGAGAGGAAACCTGAAAACCCAGAAGCAAAGCCACATAAAGCACATGGAGAATTATTGTGCATTCTTAATCAACTGTCGACACAGAGGAAACCTCTCTCAATGTCAGCATTTTGCAAAAATTAAAACGTTTTAAAAGCATTAAAGATTTTTTTTATATATATATATATATATATATATATATATATATATATATATATATATATATATATATACACACACACACACACACACACACACACATATATATATAATACATAAAAACTCTAGACCCTCTGCAGGTTTACTAGCATATTATGACAGACTTAACTGAAAACGGAGCCCTGCAGTGCTGAGTGGTCACGGCTCTCTTGTCCTCAGCACATCTATCTTCTCCTGGTCTTCCTTCTGGGTTCTCCATTTTCGGCAGCTTGAATGGCTGGGCTGCAGTGACATCACTCACATCACCACAGCACACAGAGTGGGCCGTAATTGTGATCCGAGCTGCACATATGTAGCTCCAATCACATTATCACTAACAGGCAGGAGGCACATTTATGATAGAAGAGACCACTATGGTCTCCTCAGTTATAAAAACCCTGCCTGACTGCAGATTTTTCAAATCCTGACCTTACGACCACTTTAAATCACATTTAAGGATTGTATGACATGCAGTAATTTTTTAAATTGCACAATAAAATAAGTATTTTTGTGGAGCAACTGTCAGGTAAATCGGTAAATAAAGCCATGTTTAAAAAACAAAACAAATACAATATAGAATGAGGGAAATAAAGATTCACATACCTTAATTTTGGACTCATCCGGTCCTTTGCTAGAATCAGCAACTTTGGTCCCTTGTTTCTCTCTCTGCCTATAAGTTTTCATAACTCCACATAAAAAGGCACTTTTATTCTAAAGCAAAAGACAAGAACGACCAGCCCATTACAAAAAGCCTCACTGAAATGTAAAACTTCATTTACCAAATCTAGAAAAATTAAAGACTTTGACAAACATTTTTCATCAAAACTAATCCATTAAAACCTTTGTAATCTACATATGGGCTACATTACCCACAGAAATGCAGGGAAAGAAAAAACGTATGCATTTTGCTGAAATGCGGAGGATTTAGTATTAATGGCACCCCCGCACATCAGCAAAAAAGCAGAGTGTTTTTTTCATAGTGGGAATGTGTGCGGTTGCGCCTGCATTTCCGACACGAAAATTTAAGCTTAGCTTGACAAACGCACAATCAGTCCCAAGAATGGTGTAGCTTTGCCCCCTCCCATTACAGAATAATCAACAAGGATAGCACTTAGCCCACTACAGAATAACCAATGAAATGGGTGGCCTCAAACAGTGTTTACATATCATAACCCCGTGTTGTAGGGCTCCAAGAGCACTCTAGATTATGGGCCTTGTGCAGCACCTGGAAATTTCCGTTTAACCATCAAAGAGGCAGCCCACTATGCTTGGACTTTTCTGCAGTTTGGTAATGGAGTTCTATACAGAAATGATCAGGCAGGGCTCTCACCATGTAGTAATGAGTGCTGCACTCTGAAATAAACTAGGTCGTTACTGTACAAATTCCATATGTACACTTATAACTAGAGCACATTTGTAAAGAACAACTGTTCAACAGATTAAAAGACTTTTTTTTACAGAAAGATAAACCATTGTCAAGCAAACTGACTCAAAGTGTAATCACTGCACGCCAACAAAACTGACTAGTTTTCCACTTGTAGTGACATCATCCCAACACAAGCCATGTTTTGCATGCCATCACGTTTACCTGTACATGCGAGAGATCGCTGTCCTTAAACTGCTGAAGTACAGCTAATGCACCTTCTTCATTGAATTCCTTTAAAGCTTCAATCGCTCTTTCATCTAGATCACAATGTGCAACTAATCCTGTGGGAACAATAAAGCATATTTCAGACCAAGGAGAAGCAATGTATTCACCCATGTTAGAAAGAGTTAAGACAAATTAAGATATGCATGCAATGAAATGGTTTGTGAACACTTTTAGAGCATGTTTACTACATAGGCTAAAATCCACACACAAGAGCAGCAAGAACATACCTAATTGCATTGCTAAGGGAGACCTTTGCCTTCCATGGTGGTTGAAAAATCAAAAAGACGATTGTATAGAGTCTAACATGTATGGTCAGCTAAAAGTGAGCAATTAACGCAGAAGTAGGCTTTATGGAACCAACCATACGTTTACCAGCTAGCCACTTTTCTTTATACTCAAAGCTAAAATCAAATGTGGATTCCCAGCATCATGCAAATACATTAGTGCCCAATCCCACATAGGCACACACGTTGCAGTTTGTGATAAGGTTGCATTCACATGTTGTGCGATTTTGCATTTTATTGTTCAGGAACAATCATTTTGTATGCACCTGCACTGTCATTCATTGTTAATGACACCCAACACACTGTAAAAAAGGTGTGGATTTGTCCATGCAGCAAAAACACATGGTGAAAGAATACAAAAAGCTCAGTGCTAAAAAAGCCACATGAGCTACTCTGATGCGTTTGTCATGCGTAGGTCTGTCAATTAAAATGAATGAATGGGCTTGTCCTATGTGCCAATGCACAAAAACATAAGCAAATAATTAACGCTTGTTACTGCGTGTCGTAGTGTGGATCAGGCCTAAAGTCAGATTCCATCATTTCTAACAGTTTAGAAACACCTGCTTGTTGTTCACATTAGAAGGATGGCAGTCTGCCAGGACTTGCCCTCATGCAAAAGCCTAGGATTTCAATGTGAACTTTGAAAATTAATTTTTCTGCAATATCTATAGCTATGAAAAAACAATGTTCTGTTTTACTATGGTGTGAAAACCTTAAATACTTTTTTCTACTGATGTTTTAGATTTACCAGTTTATGTTTAGCATTCTTTTTAAAAAAAAATATTTAAAATGTATATACATTTTTTACACATGAAAGCAGAGCCCAGCACTGGCACCCCATTTTAAGACATGTTGCGTTTTCTAGGCTTTGCTTTAACCTGCTGCCTTGCACTGAACTCAATTGCAACACTTCAAAAACGCATACTAAGCGTGTCAAATGCTACAGGTGCATTTACTTCCCCTTGTGAAAAAACCCCCCTGAAATCCAGAGGTGGCATTTGGGCAACATTAACACAATTGCGATATCAGATTAACACTACAATCATGTTAACCCATATTTGTCATTTTGACGCATCTTTAATCTCATGTGAAAGAGACAAAAGGTCACTACCCAAACTGAATGGTCCAGCTGGATTAGGAAGGAATTAGTCAGCCCTAAGTACTAGGGGAATCCCCATTGTTAGTAATTAACATAACAGTGCATAGGGGTACAAAGTGTTTTGGCTAAATAAACCAAATGCAGTGTATTTGTGGCCACCAAACAGAATGGTATCGCAGTACCATGCGATTTGGTGTGGCATGATTTGTAAAAGTAGTGCTTGCCCCACTTTTTGCACGTTCCTGTGCATTTGACAGCCAATTGAAATAAAAGGGTCAAAACCAGACACTTGCATTCCAGTGCAAATTGACGCTTAAATTCTGCAAGTCACCTAATTCTTACCACACTGCCCTGATCTACCATTTCAGCTGTCAAAAATTCAATGCAAACACAGGCCGAGATAGTATTTGCAAAGGACAACTCCTCTCATGCAGAGTACCTGGCAGTTAATCAACCCAGGCACTAAAAACTGCATTCTCAAAGCATACATAAGCTGCAACAATTTAAAGGATAACCACTGTCAATCTAATACCAATCAATGCCCCTTGCCCTCTATAGAGTCTGCAGTACTGTACATATCAAAGCCTTGCTACAGATCATACAAAACTACCAGTCTTCCCAAAGGACTAGATGTTCATCCAGTTTTAACCACTTGCCCTCCTGAGGCTTTACCCCCTTCCTGACCAGGCCATTTTTTTGTTTTGCGTTATGGCGCTGCGTTACTTTAACTGACAATTGCACGGTCATGCAACGCTGCACCGGAAATTTACATCCTTTTTTACCACAAATTGAGCTATCCTTTGGTGGTATTTGATCGCCTGTGCGGTTTATTTTTTGTGCTATAAAAAGGAAAAAAAAAAAAACAAAAAACGACCAACAATTTTGAAAAAAAAAAAAAACAAAAAACATTTTTGACTTTTTGCTATTAACCACTTGCCTACCAGGTACTTATACCCCCTTCCTTATCAGGCCAATTTTCAGCTTTCCGCGCTGCCGCACTTTGATTGACAATTGCGTGGTCATGCAACATTGTACCCATATGAAATTTTGATCATTTTTTTCTCACAAATAGAGCTTTCTTTTGATGGTATTTAATCGCCACTGGGCGCTTTACTTTTTGCGCTATAAATTAAAAAAAGTGCAAAAAATTTGAAAAAAAAAAAAAAAAAAAAAAGTTTATTTGTATCTTTTATAAAATTTTTCAAACAGGTATTTTTTCTCCTTCACCGATTTGCGTTGATGAGGCACTGATGGGCACTGATAGGCGGTACTAATGAGGTGGCACGGATAGGCGGCACTGATAGACAGCACTAATTAGGGGTCACGGATAGGCGGCACTGATATGCAGCACTGATAGGTGACACTGATGATGGGTACTGATAGACGGCACTGACTGGCATCACTTCTGGGCACTGACTGGCGGCACTGACTGGCACAACCCCTGGGCACTGACTGGTGGCACTGACTGGCAGCACTGCTGGGCTGCACTGGTGGGCGGGGCACAGGTGGGTGGCACTGCTGGGCACATGTAGGTGGCACTTCTGGGCACAGGTAGGTGGCACTGCAAGTGGCAAAGGTGGGGGCACTGCTGGGCACAGGTGGGGGCACTGCTGGGAATGGGTGGGCGGGGCTAGTGGGCGCACTGCTGGGCACCGATCATCAGGGCACTGATCATCAGTGCTCTGATGATCGGTGCCGATCCCCACTCTGACAACTGCCGGTTCTCGGCAGTACTTAACTCACGATCTGACAGCGTGAGGAAAGTGCAGCCGAGAACCGGCACTTGCATTTCCCTGTGATCAGCGTGTCATTGGACACCGCTGATCACGTGGTAAAAGGCCGGTGGGATCGGCCTTTCACCACATCACGTGATCAGCTGTGTCCGTAGGACACAGCGATCACGAAGATCGCCGGGTGCGCGCCCCTGGGGAGAGCAGGAGAGCGTTCTGGGAGGACGTCATATGACGTCCACTCAGAACTGGCCGGCCGCGTTGAAGCCGTAATTCGGCTATGCGCGGTCGGCAAGAGGTTAAACATGTCCAGTAAAATTTAAAAAAAAAATAAAAATCTAATTTAGTCATAAATTTAGGGCAAAATGTATTCTGCTACATGTCTTTGCTACAAAAAGGATCCTAATACGTATAAATTAATTGGTTTATATAAAAGTTATAGTGTTTACAAACTGCGGTATATATACCGGGATTTTTTTAATTTTTTTTACTAGTATTGGCAGCGATCAGCAACTTATAGCGGGATTACGGCGGGCATTCTGACACTGGAGGGAACAGACTTGGTGTCACTGACATCCGCAGCGACACCAATACAGTGATCAGTGCTAAAAAAAAAAAAAACACACACTACTAATGGCACTGAGCAGAAAGGGGTTAACATGAGGGATGATCAAAGTGTTAACTGTGCACGGTTGTGTCTGTACTTGTGTCTGTGTGCTTCACACAGTGAGCACGAGCTGACAGGGAGAACTGTTTTGTTTACAAACAGTTCTGCTCCCTGTCGGAGATGCTCGGCAATCACCGTCTGGGACCCGGTGATTGAAAGCCATGAATGGGGGCGTGCACCCCATACCCAGAAATGCAAAATCATATACATACATATATACATACACACACACACACACACACACACACATATATATACACACACACACGATTTTACGCACCCATGCCACCCTGTAGCAGGATTTCTGCTATAGGGCGGTCGGGAAACCGTTAAAGAAAATCTGAACTCTGGAAGCTATGCACCCAAAAGAATAAACCTAGGAAAGTGAAAGCAAAAAAAAAAAAAAAAAAAAAAAAAAAAAGACCTTGTGGTCCATTGAGTCCGCCAGGTTTTTTTTCCTCTTTTTCTTTGAGTATAGATCTGTTTGTTTTAAGCATGTTTGAAGCCTTGTTCTGCATGTTCTCCATGCAGAGACAGCCATCTTGATGGAGGCTAGGACTTGTTTCCTTATGTCAGAGCCCCCAGGAGGGAAAGAACGGTACTGAAATCACCAATTCTCTTGACACTACCAGTCAAAAAATTGTGGAGCCTTGGATTTTTTTTTTTTTTTTTTTAACGTAATGGCGGTCATCATTGACTGTGATAGTACGGCGGGTAGTCTGATGCCAGGTGGGAACTGACTAACTGTACTAATGACACTGGCTGGGAAGGGGATAACATTTATGGGCAAAGGATTAACTGTGTGCTTAACAATGTTTACTATGTGCCGTCTACACTAATGCAGGCCATAGACGTTTCGTTTATCGGCCGATTTTTCTTCCCGAAAAATGAAACATTCGTTCTGTAAACCAATATTGCCACCAATGATTGCAAAAATCAGCAATTTTTCACGAATTTTCCAGCATGACCAATAAACAAAATGAGGAACCACGAAAATCGGCCGATGTCATTGCCCCACTAACAGTGCGTCTATGGCCTGTATAAGCAATGTGCAGGTTTCTATTCCCTGCTTTGCAGGGAGAGAAAAAAAAAAGAAGAGAAGCAAAGTGTACATTACCCGCTTTCTGTAGACAGGTAAACATAGGGCTCTTTTTTTTATTCGCTCTGGCTGATTTATAGCCGGGACCTGCTCATCAGCATATACCAAGCTGCAGCACAGCCAGGGCAGTGGGCGCAAACCCCCTACCAGGAAGAGCTAGATCACACAAATTATGTG